ACCTGGTTATACCACCAGTACTGGTACCTGCCTTGGGAGTGCTACCATGTCCTGATTCTTTGGCCTGCAATCAACAATACACATATTATCTAGAGTATAGGACATTGACTTACAGGCATGTATCACCGGTCTACAATATGGGACAGTGATTTATATGGGACAACTGGACGCAACCACAAATACAACGCCAAATAATGCAACCACAAAACGTCGCGTCAGCTTTAGTGCACGAGCTGCGGGCACTCCGATTGGTCGGCCGATGACGCGTCACATCCTCTAACCTAACAGGCTAATGAACCGGTAGTGATTTAATAGTGGTCACGTGTCAAATCTATAAAAACTGCAATAATGACTCAGAATAATGGTTACAATCGGGTACAAAACACGACACCATTTTCACGCAGTTAATGTTACCAGAGGCGTGTTCAGGAGAGCGAGCGCTCGATGCGAACGCTCGATGAACGAACGCAGCGCCTCCTGAACGACACACGAGCGCTCGCTGTGCACTCGCTTGATCAAAGATGGCGGCCCCCATGGAGGGTTACTCAGCAGATTTTAATCGCGAGATTTTAATGTCTTCGAACAAGTAGTGTTAAACGAATTAGCAGACGAAATTGATACAAATTGAATTTAGAAGTAAATGAATGAATGAAAAATAAAATAAAGTTGAAATAGATTGCAAATTGACGTCAGAAATGTTAGATTCGCATTCGCCAGATTTTTCGTCGCCATCTTGTAAACAACCCGCGCGCTGAGCGAACAGCGTTTTGAATTTGCGCGCGAACGCTCGCTCGCGCAATGTCGTTCAGAAGGCGAACGCTCGCGAGCGCTCGCGAGCGTTCGGTCTCTTGAACACGCCTCAGAGCATATGATTGATATATCACTTCAGAGCTCTATGAGCGCGTTCGATTTGCTAACCTGGGTCTACTCGAGCCAGCCCCAAATACGTTCGATTTGGCAGTCACGTGGTATTTTTGCGTTACCCGGGTCAACCCGGGTGAGGACGAATATCTTCCCAACTCCCGTACAAGCCTCGTCAAAGCCGCCGCTCAAGTCAACGCTGGTACCACGCGATGCAGGTTGCTGGCATGTGATGAGGCGTGCCCCGTAGCTGCCACTGCGCCATTCTGATTCTGTAGTCGGCAGTGAAGCGATGTGAAGAATAAAGAGTTCGATATTTGGCCGAATCCCGCGCTTGGCTATACAGGCAAACCTGCGTGTAAGGGTCGCTCGACGGGAAAATCCAGTAATGTTTGTTGTAGACAGGTGTTTGTTCTATAGGTGTCCCGCACCTGCGTTAACCGTAGATTAGATAATACGATGTCGCGTCGCTACAGGTTGTGTGAACATCGTCCTTAACGTTCATTATAGTTTTATTAGTTTCGCGCGTAGGTTGGCGTTGTGCTGCACGAGGACGTCACAGATATGCGAGCACGCCAACCAGAGGTCACGCATGCGCTGAAAGCACTCGAGGTCTCTGCCACCAGGGGGCGCTGCTACGTTACCAACGCCATCTACGACCGCTTCTTGAGTCACGTCGCGCGCCACACGGAGCAGCACGTGCGGCTGGCGCCCTCCCTGTGCAGTGACGCCGAGCAGCGCATGCGTCTGGCGCCCTCTGTGGGCAGACATGTTGAGATGCACGTGGAGCAGGTTCGCTTGCAGCATGAGGAGCTGTAAGTGGGCGGTATTGTAGGCAAAGGGTTAAAGTTGCCCTGTGTTTCAGCCAATCTCACTGCGCTTTGCTTATCGCCGTTGTTCAGAAATTTGATTGGCAACTGCTCAGCTGTGCACTTAAGCTCCAACCTTTCCAATGCTAGACTTTGGTTGCAAATATATTTCTGGTTAGTGTGATGTCACTAGAGTGGAATAGCATGTTTGGCTGGATCGGCGAATCACCGACCAGGTTATGGTTACTGTGTTTGTCAACAGATGCTGGCAATTGAAGCAGGTTTTACACGAGTTTTGTAAACCCACAGTGAATTTGTAGAAACATTGAAGCATTGTAGAAACCTGATGCTGCTGCATTGTTGAAAACTGCCGTTGATTTAACTAACAATGTAACATTTAAGTTTTCAAACAAATTGTGTCGGCTCTCAATAAGCCTGCATAAACGATGACCAGAAATAAAAGAGACAAGTCGGAGTTAAGCTGTTTATAAATTATAAATATCACAAACATTGACCATATTTTATATAAATATGGATTCTATTATGAAATTCATGTAAAATAACAATAATACAAGCAGTTAAAAATGGAATAATTTGTCACAAAAGATACAAAACCTGCAGAACAGTCCAACACCCACATACATTTGACAAGTAAATTTGCACAGCAAAGTTGTTCAGATGGTATACACCTTTGTTTTTACCTTCAAATTGTGCAAAATTATCTACTCTGCAAATATCAATCATAACAACGCCACTTACATACCATATCAATGTCATTAAATTAATGCAAACGAGTAAATACAACATTGAGACATGCAGTAAGGACTACTGTAAAGTGATTAAACTGTGTTAATGATGACCTCCACCCCCTCCTCCTTCTCCGTGATCTTCCTCCTCGGACGCTTCTGGTTTGAACATAATCACCACAACAATCATAACATCAAACATTATTGCCGCCACGACCGTTATCGCACACATGATCTTGGCACTTCTTGACGCGTCCCATGCAGCGAAGAGGTTGCCCTGTTTGACGTATAGTGATACCTATAGTCAGAAATCGGAGCACATATCAACTTGATGCATATATCATAATGTTCAATCAATTCAATTCAATCAATAATGTTGCGTTACAGCAAGTTTACAAGGGTTAAAACTTGACATATGCAGATATGTGCTGTTTCAGAGATGAACGAGACCCACGATTTTTTATTTAACAAATTCATTTAATGAGCTTAATTTCTTACCAAAATGGAATAGTAGACTGCACTAATTCCTGTAGGGCAGAAGCCAAAGATACAAAGGAAAAGTGACAGGACATAGTTCACTTTGTTATTTGGTGGTGTCGTGGGAATCACTACTCCTGTGTTGCCTCTGGTAGGCTGCTGCTGGTGTGAACACACAGTAAAAACTTGTTAACACAGTACCAATACTGCAGTTCGATCCCCTCTGCAGTGCACTCTTCACTTTGCAGTTGAAATTTCACAGATAGCAGAAACGTTCAACTAAGGAGTATTGATATTTACTAATTAATTAGTCTAAAAGCTTTAAGATTATTTCCTGCAATCATTATTTTACAGAAGATATCGTCTGATATTGAATTTGATGACATCCTATATAGAATTAGTGCAAATCATGCACGTTACAAAAACAATGAAATTCAAATGTAGAAAAAAAATATATCGATATTACCCACCGTAGTAGTCACTTTCTTCTGGTTTCCCCGTTCCACAATGTCCTGTAAGTGAATTATATAAATATACTATTCTCCCTGTTTGCACTAAAAGTGAAGCTGTTCTAAGATTATGGAACAATGTATATAACATTCAGGCCCGTAGCCAGCTTTGTATTGGGGGGGGTTCGTTTTTCAATGTTGGCAATTTGCTCGGCAGGGGCGTGTACAGGATTTGTACCAGGGGGGGTCTAACCGTAACCCGAAGTTGCGAGCACGCGAAGGGGGGGTCTGGGGGGCCCTCCCCCAGAAAATTTTTAAAATTACACCCCCTCAGATGCGTTTTCTGCGCGAGCAAGGTGGGGTCCGGACTCCCTGGACCCCCCCTGTACACGCCCCTGCTCGGGCGCGAAGCGACCAGGCGAGGGAGCCAAGCGACCGAGCGGGGGGAGGGTGCGGGAGGGGGTGTTCACTGTTCACGCTCCCGCACGATGGAGATTTTGCAATTATTACAAATAGAGCGACCTGAGGTGAAATTCTTGCAAATTTAAAAAAAAAAATTTTTTTGCTTGGGGCCGGGGGGGTTCGTTCGAACCCCCCGAACCCCCCCTGGCTACGGGCCTGACATTGAATAAATAATGTAATTTTTATTGAAAACCCTTATGCTCAGTATCATACAGACATTCATGATTATAGGTTAATTTATTGTCATCAGATAGAGACGAAAGGCAGGAGGTTCTATGTCTATGTAGGCAATCGTGTTAGCAAGATACTCAGGATTTCTAAACCTCAGCAGTGGTTGTATGTATCTACAGAACAGAACCCAGCTGATCATGGTACCCGACACATCCCATCCGCCCTGCTTGGAGACAGTTCATGGCTTCACGGGCCTCAACAGTTGTTATTGGGAGAAGGTGTACCGCCGGTGGAGGAAAACTTTGTTTCCAAAAAATGTCCGAGTTACCCACTGATCGTCTTCAGCCAGGCCCCCCATTCATGACGGTTGGAGTCGATTGCTTTGGCCCCTGGCAAGTAGTAACGGGTCTGTTAATCAATATAAACTATAGCGTACATACATGCATGCTCACCATTTCATAGTTCTCGGCTCCCATTTTAATATATACTTGTGATCTTGTAATACAGTATCCTGTTGTAAAAGAAAAGAAATCTTGTGTGAAAATGAGTCAAACATGCAGACCCATAGCAATTAGGTAGAGTATTGACAAATATTAGTACATCGATAATTGTTTACAAATAATATGTCCAGGATTCTCCCCAGGAATTTCTGAAGGAATGATGGGCAATTAATCCGTGATTGAAGACGTATGCCCCAATGCTAAGCTGTTAAAACACTGTGTCACAGTGTGTGACTGTGTTGCGGTTGGCAAAAGTAAACACAGCTAGAAATTAGGCATATCGATTAGGTAATTAAAGCATGTCTATAGAACTTATGAGAAGCCGCAGTATTGAAGGCACTTTGATCGAAGGCACATCGTATCCAACATGCGTTAAAAAGACGAGGACAACTCCGATATTATTAAAGTGATTACGTCACCGGCGTAAATAGTAAAAAATAAAAAAATTATTTCTACTTTTTCACAAAATATAAGTAATTCTGTTCACTTTTTATGGTTAAATTGCTGCATTATACTTCTTATTTGACTATATTATTCGATGTGAACATACACTCGTGACTCATACATAGCCCATAGCAAGCAATTAATGTTAGGAACACTAATATCAAATCGTCCAGGTTTTTTGGATTTTTAACTAGTTATAGCTTAGAAACAATCTTATCAGGTAAGAATTTGACGATAAGTTTAGTCCCGTTAGTTATTATTTTTAATGTAAAAAAGATGTCAACACAAATTTTACAAATTTTACCCTAGAAAATTCGTGATGTAATCACTTTAATAATAATATAACTATAAAAGTATAAGCCCTAGGCTAAGAATTAACAGCCTCAGCCTGCATGTGGTAGTATTCTAGAATCTAGGCTACTAACCATCCGATCTAGTCTCTCTTCTTAATCTTAGTTTAGAACACTGTCACTAGTATGACTATACATTGACTAGGCTACAGTCTACACATTCAATGACAATGTTATTGATTGATAGGGGGCCTATTCAAAGTACTAATAATTATAATAATATTAATTATTATCTCAATAATTGTTATCAAAACGCTTTAAACAGTCACAAAACCTACGCCTGGCTACGGGACAGTAGTACGTGCAACTTGAACTATTCTATTACTATTAGTATTACTATTACTATTAGTATTAGTATTACACATCAAAACAAGAATTCAGATTATATCTGATCGATAATTATTACTTATTCTTCATTTACTTAACACTGAGTAGGCCCTATGAGGTGGCACACTGAGGTGGCACAACGCTGAAGTGTCTGCTGTGTCCAAATTTATGGTTATGGTTGATTCGTTGCCAATGGCACCTGGTCACGTGGTGCTGTTATTTTGCACCATCTATGCATTCAATTCATCGTTTTTTAGTTTCTAATGTCAGTAATGAGTTAAATTATTGTTTTAATTTTTTTAATGAATACTTCTTTATTAAATTTTGACCTCGCTCTAGCCAGAGGTAACATTACAAAACTAACAAACGTAAAAAAAGCACAAGACGCAAAACAAATGAACGCGCCAGTATTGTAATATGGCTGCGCCCAGTAACAAAAATGAGGAAGAATTATGTGCATGTGAAAGTGACTGATAGTTGTGATTGCAAACCAAAGAATGCTAGTGATTTCGGCACATCAAAGCTTGGCACAAAACAATAGTTAGTTTTTAGCTCATCTGACATAGTCAGATGCAGTTTGTAGAATCGCATGATCGTCCGTCCGTCCGGCCGACCGGTCGTCCGTCAACAGTTGGGCACAAATCTTAACCGCTCGACGTACGGTCACGATATTGGGGTCGTTGGGGG